TTATGGAAAAGTTGGGTTTAAAACCTCACCTTGCATAACATATCAAAATAGATTTAAAAAATGAAATATAAAGGAAGAGAATAACATACAGGTGAATTTAGCTCATTTTTTTTTTCTAAGTATAGGACTTCCTAGGCTTAAAAAGGCATCAGATAAATGACAAAGGAAAACTGTGTATATTTGACTGCAGAAAATTAAATACGTTTGTGTCATGAAATATTATAAACCAAATCCAGTGGAAACTGATGAACTGGGAGGCATTTTTACAACACACATGGTTGACAGCTTTATAGCAACAAAAATAAAATTGCAGTAATGCAGTCAGAAACTCATATTATCCCAGTAGCAAAAGGACAAATATGACAAATAACTAACAAAAGAAAAAATTACAGATGTCCCATAAACATGTGATAATTCACCCTTGATGTTAATAAAAAAAAATAACACACTAATTTTTTGGCCTATAAGATAGACAAAAATTTCAAGTGACAGCACTTGTTCATGAGGATACAGAAGGTGAGCATTCTCAGCCACTGCTGATGGGCTCGTAATCGTTTTGGAAATGCATCAAGAACTTAGGTAATAATTATGTCTTTTACCTAGTAATACCCACTTCTAGACTCTATCTAGCTGATGAGAACATCAGAGCATTTGAATATTTATATGCAAGAATTTCATTGCACTGTTCATGTGGCAAAAAAAAAACTGAATCCTCTCAAATGTTCAATACTGAGAGACTAGAAAAAGAAATTGTGGTTGTTTATGTACTACAGAAACTACTAAGGCAGGAAAGATATCCAGCGAACCGTTGAATATGGATGATTTTTAAGGATGAGGGTGGAATCAAGGTTTTTTGGAAGCTGTATCTTTTTTTTTTTACTTTTGTAATTTGCTTTACCCCTCCAAATTAGCATGCATTATTTAGAAAATTCAGAAAAAGGTGAAGATGACATGTGAAAAGTGATATATCCCTTTGATAGAAATGCAGAACTGGTCATGATAAAATGTCAGATGGGAAAAAAACCGGAGTATAAAACATAAATGCAATAAGATTATGATTTTGGTAAAATATAGTTAGTGCATAGACTAGAGAGAGATACTAAAATATTAGCTATGGTTATCTCTTTGGATTTTTAAGATTTTCTTTTCTTTTCTTTTCTTTTTAAAGATTTTATTTATTTGACAGAGAGAGAACACAGCGAGAGAGGGAACACAAGCTCGGAGAGTGGGAGAGAGAGAAGCAGGTTTCCTGCTGAGCAGGGAGCCCGATGTGGGGCTTGATCCCAGGACCCTGGGATCATGACCTGAGCTGAAGGCAGACGTTTAACGACTGAGCCACCCAGGCGCCCCTAAGATTTTCTTTTAAAATATATTTTCCCATTTTCCAGATTATGTGTGATGGGCATAAATATTTTATTAGTTGTGCAAAAAGAGAAAGAATGGTCCTCTTAGAGTTGGATTGGGCTTTCACTACTCTGGGCATTTCTTTTTTTTAAAGATATTTATTTGACAGAGACAGAGACAGTGAGAGCAGGAACACAAGCAGGGGGAGTGGGAGAGGGAGAAGCAGGCATCCCAGGACCCTGGGATCATGACCTGAGCCAAAGGCAGACGCTTAACGACTGAGCCACCCAGGCGCCCATTCTGGGCATTTCTGATGTTATGTTTATCAGGTCTCTTTGACTTTTGGTGTTAATAAAAACATTGTTTTTCAAAAAGTACTGTCTCACCTCTATAGGGAACAAATAATATGAGGGAACTGCAGTCTGAAGTTTTTGGGTTTGCAAACTGTGAACTCTGCAAGGAGACGTAAATACTACCCTGGGTTGCATTCTTTTCCCACCCTATTCTTGGAGTGAGCCCTGCAGTAAAAGGAGTAAAAAGGATAGGCCATGCAGATTCCTGACATTCTTTCCTAACCAGAATGATTTTTAACTCCTAATGTGATTTTTTTCCCCTCAAAATAGATACCAACTCTCCCTTTCATTTATTCTTTGATACCTTCCAGATTTTTTTAAATTGGTGCTCTCTCCTGATTTCTTTTAAAAAAGTGCTTTTGTGACTTGTAAATAAATCTATTCACCTGGAGAATATTGATTTATGTGACAGCTCATCACATGAAATGTTCCCCTTTTGATTCCTTGTAAAAAAAACAAAAACAAAACCTGAATATTAAAAAAGAAAAACTGATAGGGCCTAAATGGGTTTATGAGCATTTTAAACATTCATAAAGCTCTTTGAAACTTACAGGCCTACATTATCATTTATGATTGATACTGTCCTATTACTAAAACATACTTTGCCATCCACTGAAATATAGTCTATTTTGGTCATTCCGTATTCTCTGAATGACTAAACATAGAACAAATCCCTTTGAGACTTGTACTATATTTTAACTCCGCAGTGATTACCTTAGATGGGAATGAAAGACTCAGTCTTGATCTTCAGGAATCAGGGTAACTCTGTAATAGCAGGGTTAATGGCCTCTGGGGCATTCCCAGTGTAAATAGAACGTTTGGGGGCATCAGTGGTACTTACGTTGTATAATGTTTACTGGAGTGACTTTGAAAGATTGTAAGGACAATTTCAACAATTTTAAGTAAACATGAAGTTGCATTGTTTTCTTATGGAGTGAATAGACCTAGTAATAATGTTATTACATTTCGGTTATTTTTATCACTATTGGATCCTATAAGAATGCCTAAGTGATATTGTTGGTAACTAGACTAGTACCTGACTAGCAAGGGTAGGGTGAAAAAATCCTTTTATTTGATTTTTCTCTGCATTTTAGTTTGTTGGTACTGACAACTGTAGCAATTTAAAAAAAAAGTTTATGAAGAAGAATGGGGGGTTTTATGGAGCGTGTGTGTTTGTGTGTGGTGTCTGTAGGGTGTGTGTGAATGTGTGTGCACGCACGTGTGTTTCCCTCTTCCTGGCCTTGCTGGATCTGGTTAGGGGGATTTAGTTACCTCAAACAGTTCTGAATGATTGGTGAATTAGCAGAGAACAGGAGCAAAGTAATAACAGCTCTCTTTCATTTTTATCTCCTCTATTCCCATCATGGGTCTTGTTTTCCCACCTGAAAAAATGAAGGCTGTAATAGAAAACAATAAGGAAAGACATCTTATTAGAGAATATGCAAATTGGTCTCTTGGTAATATACCCTTTTTGAAAGCATCCCAGGAAAATAATTCTCTGTATGTGATTCTTAGAAAAGAATGGATCTTATCTTCCATTATGAGTTGTTCAGATAGGGAAGTTGCTGAGATAGGGAAGGAAACCAGTTATTTATTATTCTAGGCACACCACCGAGTTTCTCTCTCTCTGTCTCTCTTTCTCTCTCCATATATATCAATTAATTATTGATTAAATGCAGCCAGTTACCTTGCTAGCAAATAATACCCTTGTTTCATAGATGAAGAAAGTATCAGAAGCGGGATTCATATTGCCTCGTTTATTCTAAGAACTGTATGTTCCTTGAACAGCATCAAGGTGTCTTTGTAGGAGTAACTGGGCTGACAATCAATTGTAAGTTTTATTTGTGAGTCTTTGAAGTTGTCTCCCTTTTGTGAAGCAGAATGAACCTTTTTGTCTAGCCTTTACAAAACACATTGTCAGAGCAGTTCATGTTACCTTCTTTGAGCTCAAAAGTTACCTTCATTCCTCAGGCCAACCTGTTCTCAGGAAGTAATATATTCTAGTGACCAGGGCTGCTCTAGTTTGGACCCTCGGCTTTCACTCCGGGTGTAGAGGCCCAGCAGGCATGGGAAAGCTCAACCTGCCAAGTATCTTCTGTACTAAGTTATGGTAGAGCTAGTGCTATAAAGGCCTTTGGAGGATCCCTGAGTAAAAGTTCCCTGTTCTCCACCTAGTTGTGGGCTGGGGCAAATTACCTCAACTTTCTGAATCTCAACAGTGTCTTCACCTGTCAAACTAAGATTGGGTGAAATCAGTGTCGCCTGGGGTCACTTAGAGGCAGCGACAGGGGTGGGTGAGGGCAGGGGAGATGATCTGGTGTTCTTCTGGGCCCCCTACTATCCATGCTTCAGCAACAGAACATCTGTGTGCACGTGTGTGTGTGTGTGTGTGTGTGTGTGTGCGTGTGCACACACACTCTACCTCACCCTCTGCCCTGATTCTCGATGAGATTTTGTTTGAAGAAAAGGTTCTATATTTAAAAATAGTTGGAAAAACACTGGGAAATAGTCCTTAAGATTTCTTTGAGCTCTAAATTTCCATGGGTGTAGGAGAGCCATTTTAAAGATAGACAATCCCACTATCTTTAATTGAACTAAAATCTAATCTTTAAAATTTACTGCCAAACTTCTTTAAATTAGAAATTTCGGAAAAAATCTGAAAGAGAAAATTCAAAGTCAAAATCTGTGACTGAGTACTTTGAGAGGGCAAACTATAAGGCAAACTGCATGGTTTCTATGCTTTTCAGCAGAAAAATATTCTTCTGAGGTAAGTGTAAGATAATATTTACAATCGGAAGTCACTAGAATATGCTTCACAAAAGTACCATTCCTTCGAGACATCGTGAAGTTCATCATTTTCCATCTGTTCTTTTTCTCTTGGAAGCTTGTTATGCCATTAATAGAACACACCTGCTGTTTCCTGCGTCTTTTCTTTTGTGACAGTCTGTGAATAAGGTGACCGGACACCAGAGGAAGAACAGAAGTGTTGGGCTACAAGGTTTGCTTTTGTGGGAGTTCCTTTTACTCTAAATCTTTGTGGCACTTATTTAAAATCAGTGTTCCAAGTACAATAATTAAGCACTTACTGCACACTTCAACATTTCATTTATTGATGGGCTACCCATTAAGGTCATGACTTCAAGAGGCTGATTTTCTTTTTTTTTTTTTAAAGATTTTATTTATTTATTTGAGAGAGAGAGGATGAGAGAGAGAGAGCACGAGAGGGAAGAGGGTCAGAGGGAGAAGCAGACTCCCTGCCGAGCAGGGAGCCCGACGTGGGACTCGATCCCGGGACTCCAGGATCATGACCCGAGCCGAAGGCAGTCGCTTAACCAACTGGCACCCAAGAGGCTGATTTTCAAGCAGCTCTGTCCAATAGAACATTCTATGATGATGGAAATGCCCTCTCTTTGCTGAGCAATACTGAAGCCACCAGCCACACGTGGCTACTGAGCACTTGAAACATGCCTAGCATGACTAATGAACTGAGTTTTCAGTGTTAAGTAAGCTACTTTAAACTTAAATCGGCAGATGTGGCTGGTGGTGACCCTACTGGACAGTGTAGCTCTGGAGAATCAATAGAACTGGTAAAATCATCTTACGTTCAGGGGATAGAAGGCATCAAGTTGTTCTTTATTATTGGCACTTGAATGGCTTAGGTTACAGATTTTTACATATAAAACCATTTTAAATTAAGTATTTCTTCACTGCTTGGCACATAAGGAGTCAATGAGTGATGGGATGGTTTTAATAGGTTTCTCCCTACTCTACCCCTAGTCACAGCGACTCAGGCATCCTGTGCATCCTGGGTGAGGTCCCTCACAAGTTTCCTGTAAGATTGCCAGACCCGTAGACTCACCTTTCAAGCTTCCCTGGTCTCTGTGGGAGTTCTGAGTGAGGTGCTGTCTATGTATGCTGCTGTCGTTTTTCTTACTGCCAGGGCTTCTAGGCTCAGCAGCCCCTTAGTCATGCCTCTGGCTTGCAGACGCCCAGCCCAGGCTACTCCGGGACACCTCCCACAAACTCCCCTAGGGTCCTTAGAGGTCTATGGCTATAAACACCACTCCGGAGCATGCTGACCTGACCTCATTTAGGGCCCAGTGTTCAGTTATGGCTCCTAACACCAGCATCACCAATCTGGAGCGTGAGCAATTCCAGGGGTCAGAATCACGCCATTGGACACAGTTGAAGGGACTGAGGATGCGTCACTTAGAGAATGTCACTAGATGGATACTGTTTATTAAACTTGCTTTTGTGTTGTGCCAGGCATGGGGCTAAGTGTTTTAAATTCTCACTGAATCTTTGTAGCAACCACATGTCCTATTTTTACACATTTTAGATGTGTGCATAGGCTCAGAGAGGGTAAGTGACTTCCCCAAAGTCACACGGCTAGGAGGCTGCAGATACACCATTCCTGTTTACACTCTCTGGCTCTCAGGCTCACAGTTTTAACCACAAGGAAATTCATTATTCAAGAGGGACAGTTCTTCCAAATCAATGCAGAGGGCAAATCTAAAAGGAACTGGATTTGGTGGGACTATAAAGAAGGATTTTCTTCTAATTCAAGCTCTTCACCACAAACACCTGGCTCTGTGAAGCACGCTGTGCCCCGGAGGAGCTCATAGCTGAGGCCTCATGCTGGTGCATCAGGACGGTGGTAAAAGGCCTTCTTGAGTAAGTGGGAGCTCACGAGTGATAGATGAACTCTCAGGGCCTTTCTGATTCAAATTTCTTCTGAATATGATTTCCTTTCTTGAGGACATTTACTGCCAATTTATTCCCATATGACTACTCTTTTATTTTCCATGCAATTCATAAAGACCCTTCTTTTTCTGCGTGAAACCAGGATGTAATTTATTCATCACTCAAATTTGCATAAACAGGGTATTCTCTCTCTTCAGCAAGCCTGTATAAGAATCCACATCACGTTTCACTGGGGAATAAAGAATGGCCCGGATCATGGAAACTAAAAGGTGATTGCCAAAAGTATTTTAAACATTTGGCAGGCTTTGTTTAGTTCTGTTAGATATTAATGATCAGTGACATGACAGCCAGGAGAGGAAGAATACAATATCATTAGATTTCAAGTTATACAATGAGCTCTAAAATCATGGAGATACGCTTTTGTTATTCTAATATATCTTTAGTGTTACATTGTGCTCCTTAATTATTTCTGATATGCGTTGTAGGTGCCAGGTGTTGACTAGCATTTTTGGATTTCTTCGCAAGTGCATTTTCTGTGTTTTGAGGGAAAATACACTGAATATCCTAAAAATATTTGTATTTTCAAAAAGAGTGTTGAGTGTGATTAGAATATAACTCTATTGGAAATGCCATCGAGGATAACTTTATGGGAAATTATAAGATTGGAAAGCTGTTTTTTCACCTGTAAGAACATTTGGGATTCACTATGGGAAAGAGTAATCAATACATATCTTCACGTTCTCTGTATGTGCTCATCCTACCTTCCTGCTCAACTACTCCTGATGGTGGCATTCCCAGCTCTGGCAACTTGTGCCAGGGTTTGGAAGTGAATGTATACCTCATTCGAGGGGGCCTGACATCTATAGATGCTCCCATGGAGATGGTCATACATTATGATTATGGAGAAAGTTTTCATTCTTGAAATGATTATCACATGGGATAAGCCTTACAGAGGAAATACTAGGCAAAGAGATGATGTGTATAAGGCAAAAACTGGGCTGGGAAGAACTGAAAGGATTTCGTGATAGGAACAGGTGGATTTAGTGCCAGTATTCTGAAATACAGAACACTGGCAGGGCGTGGACTGGGGAATCAAACAAGTTGGGATTTCTAGCCTGGGAGTCTAGAAGGAAGGTTGCACCAGGTGGGTCTAGAAGAAGGCTAGGATTTCTGGGCAACGTAAAGAACGTGAAGAAGGAATGTAAGCAGGGAAACTGAGGCATGAAGGAGGGGAATGCCGACCATTTCAGTTTGCAGCAGAGCTGAAGGATGGGAGGAAACAGAGTTCACAAAGAAAAGTAAGTCTGGGGCTGTATTGTGAAGACCCTTAAGTATCAGTGTGAACAGTTTGTAATCAGCCTGTGTGGGGATGGGGATCTATATCCCTTCCTCTCAGGAGATTGCTATTTTCCATGAACTCTTCCACATATTTTTGGCCTGTCTCTCCCCTACAGGGTAAGATCCTTGCTCATATTTATTTTGATTTATAGTAAATGCTAAACAGAGTCTAGGTATGTTATATATATATATATGTATATATATATATATATATATATATATATAGGTTGTTGACTGCATATAAATCACTGTGACTATATAGCCCTCTTTATTTTTTTTTAAGATTTTATTTATTTATTTGACAGAGAGAGACACAGCGAGAGAGGGGACACAAACAGGGGGAGTGGGAGAGGGAGAAGCAGGCTTCCCACGGAGCAGGGAGCCTGATGTGGGGCTCTATCCCAGGACCCTGGGATCATGACCTGAGCTGCAGGCAGACGCTTAACGACTGAGCTACCCAGGCGCCCCATATAGCCCCCTTTATATGTACTGATGTATTTATTGTACTAATATGTAATAAATACTCGAAAAGTTTGTTTCATGCATTATATATGTGATGTTAGAAATGGAATTGGTTTAAGAGTACATTTGCTTAAAGCAGATTTTAAAAATGTCTTCTAGACAATTTTTTTTTAAAGATTTTATTTATTTGACAGAGAGAGATAGAGAGGGAACACAAGCAGGGGGTGTGGGAGAGGGAGAAGCAGGCTTCCCTCTGAGCAGGGAGTCTGATGCAGGGCTTGAGCCTAGACACTGGGATCATGACCTGAGCTGAAGGCAGATGCTTAAGGACTGAGCCACCCAGTCGCCCCTAGACAATTTCAAGTTGAGCAGGTAACTAACATGTGGCCAAATCAGGACTCAACTTTTGCAGAAAGGAATTCAGCTATAGAATCTTAGAGCTGTCGGCCCTCAGCAATCATTTCTCCTTCTTCCTTCCCTTTTATTTGAGGAAGGGGAAACCAGGCTCAGTGCAAAGTCATTGGCAATGCCAGGGCTAAGATTCTGTTTTCTGTTATCTTTCTGCCACCCTTCTTAACTGTAAGTGACCAATAAAAACAAACCATTTAGAGACCAATACACATTTACAAGGAAAAAATTTCATAGGAAACTGATGAAAAATGGATCCCTTCCATAATCCAGATAGGGTAGTCCTACTTTTGTTTATACTATTACATTAGCACAGGTGGAAAGTTTCTAACAAACCAGTTATTAACTTATTACAAGTGGTACTCTCCAATTTTTCCTAACACAAGTTAACGTGTGGTGGTAATGGGAACAATAGAACGCCGCACAATGAGATCATTTCCTCTCGTGCCTATGGCCATTTTTTACTTTGTGATCCAGCTTCTAGCAAACTTGGTCACTGGAACATCTTGGAGAAGCAAGGCCCTAGCACTTGGAGGGGCCGAAGTACTTCTACATTATAGTAACAGTAGATCCTGTGTTGGGGCTATTTTCCAAGCTAAAACACAGTGAAGCCCACTAGCAATGACAGCAGGCGTCCCCCGAAACTGGCCGGCACAGGGGCTCGGCTGCACGGGCGCCGGTTTCTGTACTTGGAACTCCAGGACCCGCTCGCAGAAGGCTGACTTATCTCGGTAACCCCAGCAGACACAACACCTGGCACGTGGTACGTTACTAACGCTAGTAAAGTTTGGACACTTAAGGCCCCAAGTGACGGAAAAGCAGTATGCCTGGGAAACGACTTTTTCTGGCGTCTAACCCGTGTGAATGCACTTTGGGGCAAAGGTAGATTTCGTCTCCTGAGCTTCGGACAACAAAGGTCCCTGAATGCACTCTAGAAGGTAGATGGAGCGTAAATCGGGCTGCTATTCACTTGGGAGGCCGTATTGTTTTGTGCCCATTGTCCCCCCGCTGACCCCTGCCAGCCCCCGGGGGCCTCGCGCTGCTAGAAGCTCTCGGAGCCGGAGCAGCCGGCGAGGGGGAACCGAAAAGCCGCGGAACCAGAGGCGAGGGAGCAGGGCGGGCGGAGGAAGGACGAGATGGGAACCGGCAGGCCTAGCTCCGAGGAGGCGGCGGCGGCGGCGTGGGCATGGAGGCCCTGCGCGTCCTGGAGCTGTACAGCGGCATTGGAGGCATGCACCAGGCGCTGAGAGGTGAGAGAGCACACCCCATCTCTCTCTCTCCGTTCCCGCCGAAGGGCTGGTCCCAGCTTGGGCGCGGGGGAGGGGCGAAGCGGCGAGGCGCCGGGGGCGGAGACAGGAGCTCAGGGTGTGTGTGTTGGGCGGGGGGGCGGGGCCGCGCTCGGTTGTCTTGGAAACCGCCCTAGCGCGCAGTGTCCGCCCGGCCGCTCCGGGCGGAGACTCCCTTTCCTCCAGCCCCGAGGCTTGCCCGAAGGGCGGACGCGGAGTCTGTGTGGACTCAGTTCGTGAGTCCTGATCCGCGAGGCGAGGCCGGAAAGTCAAACCAAGATGGTACCGGCGAAGGGGGATGGGCGAGCCCCTGGTGGGGGCCGGTCCCCACCTCTAAGTGTGGCTGCCACCTAGAGGCGTGGACACCTGCTGCTTTACCCTCGAGGAAGTCGCGGCGGGGAGGGGAGGTTGCTGGGGGGCTTGGCCGGTGAGGATTGGATCTTCACAGGGGTAGTTGCAGGGCAAGGTAGAAGTTAGGGAAGCCTAAATGAACTGTGGAGAGAAAACATTGAGGAAAAACCTGTCCCTTTCTGATCATTGAAAAGAAACAGCGTGTCTTGTCTAGATATATTTAGGCGCCAGAAGAGCTGAGTTGAAGCTTAGTTGTGACCTTGGGCTAGTTCCTTAACATCTTTGAACCTGTTTCTTGGTTTTAAAATGGGAAAAGTAAATTTTTCAGAGGAGGATTATTATGAGGATCAAAGATAAGGCGGGTAAAATGTTTCATAGTGCCTCGTACCTTGTTGCCACTCAAAACATTATAAATTATGACTGTTACTATTTTATGTACCTCTTTCATTTTGAGGTGATAAGCTGGAACTGAAAGATTTATTTTCGGTGATGGTTCTCTCAAAAATATTTCTTGAACTCCTATTCTGTTCCAGGTACTGTCTAGGTGCTGGAGATACAGAGTGACAGACTTTCAACATGCGTGTTTATTCTTAAATTACTATGACAACCACAACACCGAAACTTGCCTGCTTCCTTTTTTTAGTACCAAGGGCAACAAAAAACGAATAGTGTAGGATACAAATAATATATAATGAATTGCCCATAAGTATTCTGAGCGTTATGTATTGAGTTTTGATTGTAGACTAGAGTAGTGATTATTATAGTTTTATTACCAATTATTTGCTGGCTCTCTACATTCAGTTCTCTTATCAAAACTTAACCAGCAAGAAAACAAAAGAAAATTCTAGGGGCGCCGGCCTGGCTGGCCCAGTCGGAAGAGCAAGGGACTCTTGATTTCAGGGTCATGGGTTCCAGGCCCATGTTGGGTGTAGAGATTACTTAAATAAATAAATTAAACTTTAAAAAAAGAAAAAAAAATAAAATTCTAGTACTCTTTGTTCTTTGTTAACTTTGTAAGATTTTATAATGTCAGCATGTTTTCCCGTATCTTGAAACCCCTTAATGAACATGATTTTAAAATTTGCGTAGGACTTTATCGTAAGCTATGAATTCAACCACTCCTTAAGGGTTGAACATTAGATTATACCCCAATTTTTTGCAAGTATAAATGTGCTACAATTACAGCCTTGAACATAAATACTAATTTTCTCTTTAACTGGTGTTTTCTAAAAGTTGAATTAATTCATTTAACAATCTGAGACTATGAGCTAGTTATTAAGTGAAAAATTAGGATAATTTTTTAAGACTTGATAGATAATATAGCAGATTGCTTTTCAGAGGTTTATGAGTACCTCCCTCAACTACGTATTCATCAGGATTTGTATTAGCCATTTTTAACCTTTGCTGATTTGATTGGGGTAATT